ATTAAAAATCGGCGCTCCCTTTCAGTCTCGGAGCGTGAGTCGGATCCGAGGAGAAGAATATTACTCATTCCGGCGGCTATCGTCACGAACACGACGTTTTTCTGTCGTGAGCATCGCTGGGATAATTAGTTGGCCGAGTCGAAGCCGAGAGGAAAAGATGTAATCTAAATAAAATCGTTGAAGTCGTGACAGAGCGGTTGTTACAGCCGTTTCGTAACTTGCGTAACCGTCGATTCCTTTCAGACCTATCAGACAGAAATATATAAATTCTTTTCCGTGCCGTTCGAATCTCACGAATCGAGTCGATGAACTTTGAATCCGTTCTAATGAGAAACATATACTCCGTTATATATAATACGGAGTGCGATGATCGCTCTGAGAGCTCTGTCCATTAGTCGTTTTAATCGTTCGCGTCCCTCCGCGAGGAAAATCGCTCGAACGTCAAAGGCGCGCAGCCGAACGAGACCTCGGGAGAGATGTAATAAATTCACCAGCTCGCCGGGGATCACGAGCGCGAGCGCAGGAAATAAAACCGCCGGATTACACGCCGTTTCTGATTGACCTTTTCTTACTTCAACCGTCTCCCGGTTAGAAATTTATCGGGAAACCGATCCGACTAAGCCTCGAATCGTATCGATTCGCGGAGACATTAAATCAACGGCGAGAGAGCATATTCAACTTTCATAAGTTGAGAGAAAAAAAAGGGAGGAAATAGTTCATCGTACATCGGCTGCAAACCCGAAGTCGAGTATCGATACTCGACGATATTTTTACCAATAGCCTGTTATCTGCCATCTGCACAGAGACGTTAATGAAAACTGTCGTTGGGGAAGACAAGTCGACACGGTTCACGATTGAAGAAAAAGAAGAAGAATCGCAATAGCGGTTTCAGCTGGAAGACTCACCGGAGGAAGGTCGATCCGAGTATCTGGTGCAGTAGACCCAGGCAGGCCACGGTAACTGCTTGCCGGGATTGGTCACAGGTGGTCCGGGCGTGTTCGAGGCTGGATTCCCGGTCGTCACACCGCCGCCGGACGTGGCGTTGGTCGTCGAGCTCGTTTCCGAGCTGTTCTTCTCCGTGGCGGTCTCGGTGGCCGACTCGAGGAAATCCTTGGTCAGGTCGATGGGCCTCGAGCTGATCTTCTTCGGCCGAGATTTCTTCAACGAAATCGGGTCGGTGATCCTTCTACCGAAATCCGCCTTTAGTATGTTGTCTATGCTGAACTTCAAGCCAGCCTGATGCTGCAGATTATTATTGTTGTTGTTGTTGTTGTTGTTGTTGTTGTT